CATCTAATATACACTATATTGCCAAAAGTATTGGGACACTGGCCTTTACACGCACATGAACTTTAATGGCATCCCAGTCTTAATTCGTAGGGTTCAATATTGAGGGTGCCCACCATTTGCAGCTATAACAGCTTCAAGTCTTCTGGGAAGGCATCGGAGTGTGTCTATGGGAATGTTGGACCATTTGTGAGGTCAGGTACTGATGTTGGACGAAAAGGCCGGGCTAGCAGTCTCCGCTCTAATTCATCCCAAAGGTGTTCTATCGGGTTGAGGTCAGGACTCTGTGCAGGCCAGTCAAGTTCCTCCACCCCAAATGCGCAGTCATGTTGGAGCAGGAAGGGGTCATCCCCAAACTGTTCCCACAAAGTTGGGAGCATGAAATTGTCCAAAATGTCTTGGTATGCTGATGCCTTAAGAGTTCCCTTCACTGGAACTAAAGGGCCAAGCCCAACCCCTGAAAAGCAACCCCACACCATAATCCCTCCTCCACCAAACTTTACACTTGGCACAATGCAGTCAGGCAAGTACCGTTCTCCTGGCAGCCGCCAAACCCAGACACGTCCATCGGATTGCCAGAGAAGAGAAGCGTGATTCGTCACTCACGTCTCCACTTCTCTAGAGTCCAGTGGCGGCGTGCTTTACACCACGGCATCCCACGCTTTGCATTGCACTTGATGTAAGGCTTGGATGCAGTTGCTCGGCCATGGAAACCCATTCCATGAAGCTCTCTACACGATGTTGTTGTGCCAACCTGAAGGCCACATGAAGTTTGAAGGTCTGTAGCTATTGACTCTGCAGACAGTTGGCGACTTCTGCGCACTGTGCACTTCAGCATGCGCTGACCCAGCTCTGTCATTTAACGTGGCCTACCACTTCGTGGCTGAGTTGCTGGTGTTCCCAGTTGCTTCCACTTTGTTATAATACCACTAACAGGTGACCGTGGAATATTTAGTAGCAAGGACATGTCAGTCACAGAACACCAGAATCCAATGATTTGGAGGAGTGTCCCAATACTTTTGGTAATATAGTGTACACGCACGTGCCATTTTATGCAAAGTAGCCATATGTCTGTTAAAGCACGATAAAAACAAAAAACAAAACAAAAAACCTCAAAGGGTTGAACAGACAGTAAGGTGGATTATATTGCACTGCAATGACCTCATCCAACATGGCCACCTGCTCCATCCCTTCCCTATGTACCACAGCCCTGGGCAGGAGAGCGCCGTATACAGTGCAGAGTAACCTAACAGGCAGACCGATTCAGGCACACGGAAACCGCCGTCCGAGCAGCGGCGTTTACAATGCGGTTTTTACAGACGTGTTTGCTAACTCTGGCTGGGTGGCGGGTTAAACGTGTTTTTTTTTTCTTTTTCCAGTGGGAAACACATCCATCTCTATGTCTGTGCTAAAGAAGAACTTTGTGTTCAGAAATTGGCCAGCTCCCTGATGCCAAGAAAAGCTTGTGCCAATGACAAAACCCCCTTTGAGGAGAGAGAAAACCCGTGAGCTCATTTCTTTACATGGCTCTGGAAACACACTTCTGCCAGCCAAAGAAAAACAAAAAAAACGAAGGGCTGACCAGAGCCCGGGCCGAGGCAGTGACAACAACAGGTAAGGCGACTTAAAGTGGAACTACAACCTCCTATCCTTTACAGCCAAGGAAGGCACCATCTTGGCTTCTATTGGGATGGCAGTTGCCATGGTGCTGTACACGTGATCAGCTATGACACCAGCCATTTGAGGGCTTGAAACTTCGGTTGAGAGCTGAAATAAATGCTCCGACAACCTTGAGGAGTTCCTTAGCCAAACGCTGAGTAGCTGTTTTGCAGCGCTTTCAGCTTAAATGAACGTTTCGGCTGCACAGTGCTAAGCAACATGGCGGAGGAAAATATTTGACTAATAAATACAATTTTCCAACGAATATTTGGTGTGCTCATCCACCAAAAGATTGAATTGTAGGTTTCCACACTGAATCGATTCAGTCACATTTCTCTAGAGCTTCCAGGTGTGCCCACAATTAAAATGGCCGCTGGTGCTCTGTCCCCACCTTCTCTGTTACACTCAGCGCTCTGCATCCACACTCACTTCCGATGCGAGTGCTAAGTTAGCAGTGCTGAGCTCTGACTTGCAGTACAGCATTCAGAAGCGGTTTGCTAACTTAGCACTCACAGCGATTGAGCAAATAAATGAGTCTCTGAACGTAACGGTTTTGGGAGCCATTAAATTGGTGGGTAAAGTTCCCCTTTTAATTCGGATCATTGGTACATTGCTCAACCGATGGATTTTTTGCAGTTGTGTTTTTCAGTAGCCGCCTCTGCTACCATGACAACCTGGACAAACTGCAGACGGGCTCACCCATTATACCAGCTGCCACCTTCAGCGTCAATATCCTGCAAAAATATATTTTAAGGAGGAACTTTAAAAATCCGAATTTATCAAAACTGGAGCAGACCAAATCTGGAGCAGTTGTCCACGGCAACCAATCAGCTCCTCTCTCATTCTCAAATCTTAACTGCTCCAGATTCTGCCTGCTCCAGTTTTCATAAATGCACCTCAATGTATGAAGAAATTCCACCTTTTGAAAAAATGTATAAAAATGCACTCAAGAAATGCACATTTTTTATTCTTTTATTATTTGCATAGAGCCAACAAGACATTACAACTGTGATTGGTGGATCAGCAGATATCGGGTACAATGCTCTGATTCCACTCCAAAAAAATAAAAAACACACTCTGTACATTTGTTTGCATTGGAGCTGGTAAAGCATTGCAACTGCGATCAGTGGATGGCGGGTACAATGCTCTGGCCCCTGCAGACTCTTGCTTCTGTCCATGTCCCTATCAAGGCATGGACATTCAGTAACATGGACGGAAGGAAGTGCTGATGGACTACAAGTGAAGTGACATCAACACACCTGTATTCCATTGGGAACTACTGTTCTAGTTTCTCCATTTACAGCTCCTGTCAGGGAGTCACGCACAGCCGCGCCAAATCCAAACTTGCGTGGAGAAAAACCCAGTGATTCAGGCCAGTGGAAGTTGGGTAGGGGTCTGACCAGCTTATAAATTTGTATATAACATGCTCCTTTAAGGAACGTGGCTGTTTGAAAAGCTGCTATTCATCAGCAGAAGAGTCTAGAAAGGCCCACCGCTTCCTGCCTTTCCTATTTCCTCTGTCACACTTCCTTCCCCACAAAACAAGTCCATTAATCCGCGTGTATACTAAAAGCAGGAAGAGCGCATTTCTGAGCTGGAACCCGAGGAACGGCCATCATCCGAAACCCTTCCAACACATCTAAGGCCTCATTCACACCAGGGAGACAGCAATTCAGCGCGTTTTCGGTTCATATGTCAGTGCTTTTCTTAAGCTCGTTTTCAATTGTCCAATGAAAAGCAATCTCGGCTGCTAAAACAAGCTGCGTAAAAATCGCACTGATCAGCACATTTCCATTGAAGTCTATGGAGCAAAACAGGCTGATCAGCGCTACCAAAAAAGCTCAGGGACTATTTCAAGCCACAGGCATATTGTGAGACGCCATTCAGTACGTTTGCGTGAACGACCCCCCCCCTCCGAATTGGAATACATGGGATTTTGTTTGCGTTTCAGCGCTGGAAAAAAAAAAAAAACGCAAGACGAAACGCCCTGGAGTGAACGGGGCCTATGACACTAAGCATTGTACAATGACAACATACTTCACTGCAATGATATGTAGAGGAACAGAAAACGTGGACGGAATACACAGCACTGGACACGACATCTGCAGGAATAATCACATCTTAAAGGGCCACTACACAAAATATATCTGCTGGCTGATGTACAAATGATGCTTGTTAACTGCTTCAGGGCCACCGTAAGTATATAAACAGCAGCAACCTGAAGCGGTTATATCAAGATTCCAGCTGCCGGCGATGGCGGTGACATACAAGCGTTCAGGCGGCTATAGGGCCCTCAGATCGCTTGTATGGTGCCGGTGTTCTATCAAAGTTTGCGACTAGGCTGGAATGTGTGACCGGTCACACATTTCAACGTAATCCCGCCCAGTTTGACGGCGGTGGAATGTGTGACCACTCATTAGTTCAAACATTCCAACGCTTTGTCAGCTGTTCCAGGCCAGATCGGCATCGCAGATCGCATGTGCAGGAGAACCGATCTGTCGTGGAACAGCTGATCGGTCCTGAAATGTCCCTTCTATCCAACTTTGTGGAATGCGAGATCGTACTCACAAAGTCACATTTCAGGACCGATCAGCTGCTCCAGGGCAGATCAGTTCTCCTGCACATACGATCTGCGATGCCAATCTGGCCTGGGACAGCTGACAAATCGTTGGGATGTTTGATCTAATGAGTTTTCACACATTCCACCGCCGAAGAACTGGGCGGCATTAGGTTAACATGTGTGACCACGTGACCGGTCACATATTCTAACGTAGTCAAAAATTTTGATAGAACACAGGAGGTGAAGGCTCTTGAGAGGTTTACTGAGGCAAAGTGCTGTGATGAATTCAGGAAGTGATGCACAGCACCGTGCTGATCCCGCCCACCAGCCATGATCTGCCTGCATTGCATCAATAAGCACAGAGATCCAGTGATGAGGACTTAAATAAAAACAGGTTTCATTGCATACCTTATTGAAAGATGACGCGGTGCCGCCCTCAGCGAATCTGCCGCTCCAGGCAAACGCCTTGTTTGACTCACGGTATACAGAGCTACAGCTCGCGGTATACAGAGCCTAAGGTGACGGGAGGACGCTAGTTTGTGTCCTCCCGTTACCCTAAGGAGAACTACGGGGAAAAGCCCTAACCCCATAGTTCTCCTTTAAGGATCACATTTCCATGGAAGATGTAAAAATATTTGATGTAAAAAGACACTTTACTAGCACAACCTTTCATCGATCATAGAGAAATGCTCTTATTCAAGACCAGTGTGATGGGAAGGTTCAGCGGAAACAAAATATGGAACAGCAATCCTGGTTACACAACAGAAATAAAACGGACTATTACCTTTCTTTACTTTCTTCTGCAACTTTATTGTGTCGGAAGATTTCTTCTTAATCTCTGCCCGGGCCTTCTTGTACTCTGGAAGAAGACACAGGACAGCAGGAAGTTAAAACATACTGTAAAGCAATTGAGAACCTCGTAGGATTGGATACACAATGTAAATAGATTTTCCAACTATGGAGATTGGAGCAAAAAACTGTCCTCATAAGAAGCCGTTCTCTCTGCCCGCAGCGGTCAGTTCTCCTTTTTACACTGGAGGCAAGCTATGATTGGCTGCTCTAAACTCCGATCTCACTTTCTAATGCGGCCAATGAAGTTGGGGTTCAGAAAGTGGCCATTGTGAAGGGAATTCCCATTATTGTTTATATTATTCCCACTGTAAACAATACAAAAAAACATTTATTCCAAAACACTCCACTCTTAGGTTGCATTCACATATAGCGTTCGCATTTCCAGTGTGGAAGACTATAAGGGACAAAAACGCTAATATTTTTAAATCCGCACGAATCCTGCTCGTTTGCGGCTATTAAATATTTCGGGTGCCGCGCAGTTTCGTGCCGCGCGGTCCCTACAATGGCCTGAACGATGCATTAAAGTGCTTTGTATTCTATGTCTATTCCGCACAGTCGAATACACATGCACAGCCACTCAGGTGTGAATGGAGCCTTACAGGAGAACTATGAGGTGGAGAAAATCACTCAGCCTCATAGTTCGAGCCGACGTGTGATAATGAAACTGTCACATGTTGGCTCAAATCGGGAAGTGAGCGAACACATACTGTCGTTCGCTCACTTCTCGATCTCCCTGCAGAGAGCCGTGACCGTCACTCACGGCTCAATGCAGAGATTTCTCCCCTCTCCGATCCTCCAGCGCAGACTGGAGGAACGGACGGGGGAGGGTGTGGGTACTGCTGGCTCTGCCTCTAGATAGGCAGAGCCAGCTGTCACTCACGCAGCTGGGTGGATCTTAACAGTAATGTCGGGATCCGTCCCGGCTGCGTCGGTCTCAGTATACCGCGAGCTGTAGCATGCGATATACTGAGCTTTGGGTCACGGGAGGACGCTAGTATATGTCCTCCCGTGACCCTTAAGAGAACTATGGGGAAAAACACTTACCCCATAGTTCTCCATTAAAAGCTCTTTAAAGTAAACCTGGGCAATGGGTAAGGGAACAGGTTTGCTTTAATCGCATTTGCTGCTGGCCCTCTAAAAGTTACATAATAGCAGGATCAGGGACAAGGTTCTGATAAACCGTTGCAGTGCTAAAGGGCCATATTAGACCTATACAAGGTCTGTAGTCACAGCTCAGCCCACATCAGAGTTAAACATATGACCATAGTGTCTTGTACATGATGACCCTTATGACTGACCACAGTGGTGACACGTAGCTAAAGCTGGTCATGGCTATGAGCAATAAGCACTGCTTATCCTTGTGAAACTAACATGCAAAAAGCCCTTTAACTTTCTTTGAGATAAAATCTTTAAGAATAGTCAGTGCTGTATCAGCGCGATCTTCCATAAAGAGAGCCGACCTCTGTGCTAGCTTGGCTACGAGCCACATGCTAGTCGTGTTTTAACCAGATGCCTGTTGATGTTAAAATGTACCTGGTGACCTCTAATGTCCTTACTTTCATGTTCTGAATAAAAAGCAGATAGGTTTGGGTGATCTAATGAATATGGGTGCCCATCGCCATTCTAAGGCCCCAGTCACATGCAGGAAATTCTGGGATTCCTGCAGCAAGAACCTACATATACCTGCTTCAGGCGTCTCGGGTGTCCCCATTTAGATGCGGCAAACGTACCCACTGAAGTGAATGACCGGGTGACACGGGTCATTACATATAGTACAGGGTATGATTGCATGCGGTTTTGAATAGATTATAGTCGTTGGATGCATCTATCCTGCGCCCACTGCCAATCATCTATCCCAAACCACATGGAATCATACCAAGGACTATTACATCACTTGTGCCAAAGTGGACCAGGAAATAGAAAACCAATAATTGTAAGTAAAGTCTAAATACATTTGTTTAGCTAATGAATGCAAGATGATTTCATAATAGTACGCAGAGCAGTGTGCGGATGTGATTTTTAGGGCTCTAACACAGGAATCGTCCGGCACATACAGCTCCGTGCACGGCCGTATTGGGCAGCTCCCGAGAAGGCAGGTGCTGTGTGCGACTAGTACGCAGCCCCTGTCCTTCTCTATGGGACTACGCAGCCGTACGACGCCCTGCACGTCCGTGCGGGTGACCATACTCGTACGCCGATAGGATGGATCCTGTCTGCGCCTGAGCCAGGAAACACGCACCCATACGGACCTGCAAATGAGGTGCATACGGCTGCGTAGTCCCATAGAGAAGGATGGGGGCAGCGTACTAATCACACGCAGCACCTGTCCTTCCCGGGAGCTGAGCGATACGGCTGTGCACGCAGCACGGAGCTGTACGTGCCAGCCGATTCCAGTGTGAATGAGCCCTTAGTGAAAGTGGCTAAAGGTTCACTTTAAGGGAGCTATCCAAAGGGATGCTGATATTCGCCTTGTGTACACACGGCTCGTATACACCATACAAGAGGAGATTTACACTTGCGGGCCTCTTGATGACGGCTCACAAAGGGAGAGTAAAGTTAAATGATCTCTCAAAAATATTTGCCTTGCTTGGATACAGTAAAAAGGAGCTAAAAGTACTCCTCCCCCTTTAATGTACGGGAGATTTTCTCACAAGCAGGCATACTATGTAGGAGGGGGGTGAAGAAAGAAGTGCTTGGCAACGCTTTTATATAAGTGGATCGCAGCAACAGAACCACGCTGGTTTCTCCTCTCCCCCACCCAAAATATGTAGGAGGAGCACTCTTAACATCATTGCTATTAGTATTACATTTTTTGACGTTGTATACCACCCACATGTACCCCAGCACTTTACATTGTACTATTCACATGCAACAGATCCAAAGCTCCCATTACAAACCCTGTGCAATCAATTTTGTTGAAAGCCAGTTAACTTATCTGTATGTTTTTGGCAGGAAAACAGAGAACACGCAGGAAGCCCACACAGGCACACGAAGAGCATGCAAACTGCAAGCAGATCATGTACCTGAACCCAAGATGCCAGCGCTGCAAGTTAACAAGGCTAACTACCGTACTAAGTCACTGCAGCGCCCAATCAGGTCCATCTTTCTCTGCCAGCTCCCCCAATAAAGTAATACTTTACTCTCCTTCTCTACAATTGAGGAATCCTCTTCTTTGTACCCATGACATCATCACAGGGGCCCCAAGGTCTATGTTCCTCTGAGCCAGGATCCAAGAGGGTGCCCCACATTACTTACTCTAGATGTTATGCTGCAGCAGGTAACCTTGGCACTCTAGCTGTGGTGAAGCTACAACTCTTATGCCTCCCGAGTCATACCTGTGGCTGTCAAGAGTCTTGCAATGCCTCATGGGACTTGTAGTTTGTAGCACAGCTGGAGCACCGGGGTTGCCTACCTGTTGTAGGGTATCCAGTTGAAGGAGAAGAGTTAACAGTGGTGACCACGCTGATTTCTCCTCCTTAGTTTAGGTAAAGGGCAGGGTGGTCGGGCTTTTGTATTGCTGTTGTCAGAATACTTGAAAAGCGACTACAGCTGATTTGTCGAAGGAGCCGAGTGGAAAAGTGTCAGAAACAGCAACTGCGGCCAAATTCCACTGAGTAGTCGACTTTAGTCGAGCCGGCAGGGCCCCACACTGTTAAAACTTTGGCCTGTTCCTGTGAATCGATCAGAAGTCTATCAGTGAGGGAGACAAAACAGTGTGAATAGTTCCGTGTGCTCTGTAAAGTGTTTTGTAATAAAGGATCTCTGCATGAATATATGAAATGAATTGATTATTATACTACAACATTAGGTTATGTGATCCAGGTGCAGATTTGTTTTAGATGTATTGGGAACTGTAAGAACATCTTACCTTTAGCATGATCCTTGTCAAGCTGGTTCGCTATCTTCTTCCACTCTTCAATTTTACCCTCTAAAGGGTTAATCAGACTGTCACTGAGGGCACTGCGAAGAAAACACACACAGGACATGAGAACCATGAACAGTTATGGACAGAACCTCTCACAATCCTGCTCAGGTTTTATAAAATACAAAGATACATATTGATGGGAGATAGATAGATAATTTTGGTGTAACCTTGGAACGATTGTGCCCTTGGAACATTACTTTTTCTGTGGCTCCATACCCAAAATGCGTACCAGGACTGCATTAGCCGCTCAACAAAGTGTTACCCGAGTCTGCCATAGCAGGCTATGGATGGTACGTTTGCATGATTTAGACAGGAGCTAGGAGGACCAGCTTGTCTTTGAAGTGTGGGAAAACAGTGGAGTACCCACAAAGCACTGGGGAACATCCAAACCTCATGCAGATAGTGTGTCCTGTCCGGGATCCAGACCGAGTGGGATTCAGATCTGCAACCCCATCCTTATGTCGAGAGAAGAGCTCCTAGGGAGATTCACTCATTCAGCCTCTCTATACAAAAAGTGATGGGAAATCCAATATTTTAAATTTAATTAGTTAAATTAGTTAATTAATTAGGAGAACAAGGAGGTGAGGGGAAATCTCCCAAGAGGGACACTTGTTCTGTTGACAACTCCTCACCTAAAGATTTCTCTCACTTGTTATTGTATTGCCAGGACTGGAAGTAAAGTGAAATCTCCCTGACAGGACCAAGGAAAAAAAAAAAATGATTGATTGGGGTTTTACCCATTCCCTATACAAGATGGAAAAAAAACCCAAAAAACTTTTTGGCTATTTGGCTAAAGAAAGAGACAGAATTGCAGCTGCAAATGGAACCTTCCCTACATTACATGGGCAGCATGGTGGCAAAGTGTTGGGCTGAGATTACCTCATCCTTACCTAGTGGGCAAGGATGATGTAATGGGAGTGAGCTTATACGACAAAAAAATACTGCATGTCACATTTTGTATGGTCAGGAAACGGACCAGAAACGCAAAACGCGTCAAAAACGCATTGCACTGCAGCCAACATACTGACAGCCCCACTCCAGCAAAAAAAAAAAAAAAAAGTTTTTTTTTTTTTAACCTGGGAGCGCATCACAAACGCGGCCAAAACACGGCAAAAAACACACTGCATCTGCAGATTTTTTTTTTTTTTTAACCTGGTGCGCATCAAAAACGCGGATAAAACACACTGCATCTGTAGATCCGCACCTGATATCATGTGAAAAGGCCCTTAAAGTTTGAATTAAGGCCCAACTTTAACTCAAGACTGAGCCCCGTCCCCGTCATTCAAGTGTCAAATACCAGAACTTCAAATGCCAATACAGCCTCAGGCATTCAACACCTGAATACGAGGGGCTTGGTGTCAGGAGGGAGGGGGGGTCACTAAATCTTAAAGCAGACCTTTACTGCCTTCCACAATAATAAAAAAAAAATCACATCAGCATACAGCTCTGCATGCGGATTTAAAGTAATCTGACATTCATTAAACATTTTTTCCATTTACTTACAAATAGATTTGATCTACTTCCTGGTCTTAGTGAGTTAGTGATGTAATGCGCCCAAGCGTTGCATCCTGGGAAGGTTACATCCGCAGAGCATTGCTGGGAAATCTCAGAGAAAGGCATTTTCCTCCCATGAGATGTGCATGGTCACATGTCCTAGTCACATGTGCCAGAGTTCCAGGAAGTAAAGGGAGATCTAGTAATCTGCCCTTAGTTAAAAAAAAAAATGGCCACTGTCAGAAGATTGGGAAAGAAAAGAGAAATAAGGTATGCAAAGAATACAAAGCCGGCAATTATCTAGAAGTATGTGTTTGTAGATCGTCATTGCTAAGCATTTCTAAAGGTGTATTCTTCTCATAGTGGCCATTTTTACTGAGGCCAGGTTCATACCTGGGCGATCCGTGACCGCGCGGCAATCGTGCAAAATATGGGAGTCGCCCACCACCGCTGATCGCGCTGGCGGTGCCATTATTTTGTTATGGCACCCCAGTCACGCAGGGTGCATTGCGACGATTCCGCCCATGCAACCGAACACGCTCGAGGCTAAAACATGTACCTTTTTTTTCTGCGTATGCCGCGTGGATGTAACCCTATTGAAACCAATGAGGCTGCGCGGAAATCGCTGTCTGCAATTGTGCACAACCGAGCGATCCTGGGACGAGCGACCCGGATCGCTCAGGTCTGCCCCGGCCCTAAGGGCAGAATAATATATCTCACTTTACTTCCTGGAACTTTGGCACACGTGACTAGGACATGTGACCATAGACATCATCTCAGGGGAGGAAAATGCCTGTGCTTGAAATCTCATGAGATTACAGATGAGATTTCCCAGCAATGCTCTGCTGATGTAACCTTCCCAGGATGCATCACTTGGGCACATTACATCTCTAGTGACCAAGAAGTGGAAAAAGCAATAACTAAGCAAAAGAAGAAAATGTTTGTTTATTGAAAGATAATTTCATAGCATGCTGTGCTGCACGCTGATGTTTTTTTAGTGAAATTTTAGCGTAAACCAAGTATGTCCATACAGTATCCAGGACCCCAGGGGCTCCACAGGGACTGACTTGAAGACTAACACAGGCACTTGTAGGCATTACAAGGCCCCTACGCTTCAGCACACCATTTATAGGCCGGGACAGGTTTCACTTTAAGTTACAATTCTACTAATGTTTTTTTTTTTTGCTTCTGCATTTCGTAACATCTGCTCAGTTCCTAAACGTGCTGCAACAGCCCCAAAAATACTTGCCATGTCATCAAAACTCCAAAAACCAACAATTTTCTATTTAAAGGATCATGAAAACAAAGTGTTCCGTAATCTAATCCCATTTTGACAAGCAAGCCAACTCCCCCACCCCCCCCCCAATCATTTTGCTATACAAAGAAAAAACGAACGATCACCCCGGCGCTGTAATAAAAGCCGCCAGCAGCACATGCGGCCAGCTTCCCAGCAGTGGGACGGTTAATGTCAGACGTTACACAATTATGAAGAGCCATCTTGTGCGTAGCGAGCCTTTTTAAGTGGTAAGACGCACCAAAGATTCATTGTTGGCTCGGGCCAACAATGAATTTACTTTACTGCTCGGGCTATAAATATAACAGATGTAACTATGAGGAAAATAAAAACAAAACTGGAGTGTTTTATGCTATACCTCCGAAAGATATCCGATCTGACCCCCGATAACGATCATTAATGATCAGTGATTGATCTCAGAGTTCTCTTCACTGATTCTAAAGGCTTGTGATTTTTTAAAAAATTTACTTGTAATGTGCGTCCTGAATTGGATAGAAAAATTTGACTATTCCAAGAAGAGTCGATTCCCTAGCACAGCCCCCTTTCTCAATGCATGTCACTGCCCTCTCCTCTTCTGGGAGTATATAATTACTGTCTGTGCTGTCTCAGCTCCCATGCCCTTTCCCCTCACCACATAACCTTTTCTGTAGCCTTCAGGGGAGGAGCAAAGGAAAAGCGATAGGTTGTCACTTATGAGACAGCTCAGAGTCTGCAGACATGGCATTCAAGATGGTGGCATCCAGCAGCAGTGTTAGGGCTTTAGGATGTCTACACAAGGCAAACTTGTAAATAGCATGCATGGAAGATTTTTGCTGAAATGAATGGTCTGGCCGACAGGGTCTTATCTAACTCTCTGGGACTTTAATGCGGGGGGATCCCTGCACAGAGCTCCTGGGTCTGCAAACCTGCGGTGCCCATTATGAGGGGCTCCCACCATCCCTGTCCTGAGTTCTCAGGTCTGCACACCTGTTACACCTATTATGGATGGGTTCCAACATCCCTGTACTGAGTTCTCAGGTCTGTACACCCACTGGCCCTTTTAAGGGGCTCCCACCACCCTGTGCCGATTTTCTGGGTCTGAAAACCAGTTGTGCCTATTATGAGGGGTTTCCACCATCCCTGCCCTGAGTTCCTGGGTCTGCACACCTGTTGCACCCATTATGAGGGGCTCCCACCCTCCCTGTGCTGAGTTCTCAGGTCTGTACACCCGCTGGCCCCATTTTGAGAGGTTCCCACCATCCCTGTGTGGAGTTCCTGGGTCTATAAACCTGCTGTGCCCATTATGGGGGGCCCCCACCATCCCTTTGTGGAGTTTCTGTACACCTGCTGTGCCCAATATGAGGGCTTTCCACCATCCCTGTGTAGAGTTCCCGGGTCTGTATAGCTGTTATGAGGGGTTTCCACCATACCTGCACAGTTCCTGGGTATGCATACCTGCTGGGCCCATTATGAGGGGTTCTCACCATCCCTGCGTGGAGTTCCCGAGTCTGTATACCTGCTATGCCCACTATGAGGGGTTTCCACCATACCTGCACTGAGTTCCTGGGTGTGCATACCTGCTGTGTCCATTAGGGGCTCCCACCATCCCTGTGCTGAGTTCCCAGGTATGTACATCTGTTTTTATTTATTTTATATTATATAGAATGTAACAGGAGGATCTGGAACACACAAAGGTGGGAACCCCCAAAACTTCCAGGTAGACAGGGAAACAGTCAGGAATTATTGCAGAACGATCTCAATGTTGGAATATCCAAGACCTAGAAGATGCCAAAGACTGACTCAGCCCACCAAATATCACTTTTGGGCGGACTACCTTCAATAACTCACCTAGAAAGTCATAACTCCTTTCTATATGTACTACCATCATGCATAAGTCTGGAGCTGTGATAATTCACAGGGTGACAGGAAGGCTCGGGCGATAAGGAACATAAGAAGGTATCAGCAGACAGGTGTGGTTGTATCATATACACCAACATCTGCTCTGTACATAGTGACGGCATGCAAAACATGGAAACCATTTACAAAGCAGACTAGATCACAAATAACCGAAGGGAGAGAACTAGGTGTGTGTAATAAAACCCATTAGTCAGTGCGGGCCGGTGCACTTCCAGCTGGGAGTCCTTGTGGTTTTAGGCCATGACTGGTGTGCTGGTGCTGAGTGACATGCAGACAAAGATCTCTTCTGTGCCTACTAATCACAGAGCAGTTGTCCAACACGCAAAGCCTGCCCCGCGGACACAACTCATCCGGAATGTTATGACATCATCCAGCGGGAGACGCACTGAGCGCTGTGACCAGAATTACCAATCAGCAGCTCACAAACCTTGCAAATATGTAGGCTGCCATTGCTGAAAATGCTAGTGGCCTGTGTGGCATGCAGATTCTTTGACTTCAATTGCATGAAACAAATATAGAAGTTAAGAATTCTAACATTTCTCTAACTTTCATGTGTCCGTGTATGGTGCCAAGCAGCTAGTGTTTTCAAGAGGTCAGCAATGGCGGCCTCCAGATTCCTTCCATGACTTAAGGGGCTGATTTATAATTCGTTCAACACAGCATACAGCTGTGCGAACAGTATTTGCAGCACAAGACTGCCACTAGATGGAGCCGAGGAGCACAGGAAGTTCCTACACTCCTCAGCTCCATCTAGGGGCATTCAAGTGTTGCAAATTTTGTTCTCACATCTGTACGCTGTGTGAGCACATTATAAATCAGCCCCTTTAAGTTATGGGAATCAGCCCCATATATACACACAAGTTTACTTTAAAGTAGATCCAAAACCAAAACTTATTTCATTTTGAATAGAGTAGGGGGGAGCGTTAAAACCGCTGCCAGTGTTTTTTTTGCCATCCGTCTCTGATTAGGGAGATTTCCATTCACTTCCTGACCTGTAGACTCAACAGGAAGTGAGAAGATAGCTTTCCAATGTGAGGAACCACACAGGGTGCAATGCGATCGGCCACATGGGAACGCAAGGCACATCAAAGCCCGCAGTTCAGTCTGGTGAGAAAAAAATGCTGCAAGCGCAATTTTTTTCTGACCACAACGCAGGAATTGATGTGCCTTGCAATCCCGTGCGGCTGATTGTATTGCGGCCAGAGGGCGTGGCTGCGGTGCCATTCACTTCACCGACACGCCCCCCAAAAAATTGAGCCGGCCGCAATGCGATCCAATGCGTTCTGGCCACAATCGGGCCGGAACGCATTGAGGATGGTGTGAATTAGCCCTAAATCTTCCATCCATCGTATAGCTGGGCAAATGGCATTCACACAGCACAACTGCCACTAGATGGCGCTGAGGAGTACAGGCATTTCCTATGCTCCTTGGCTCCATTTAGTGGCAGCCCCTGAATGTTTACTGCACGCGCGTCTTGCAAACATTGCATTGTGCAGCCTGAATACTTGCAACATCCCACAAGCTTCCGTGCAGCTCACTAAAACACTTCAATGTGTTTTAATACAATATAAGCTTAGCGGAGTTCTCCTTTAAGGAAACACGTTGTAACCTGACAATGTAAACTGTTGCCTCGGTCAGGAAATCAGAATATGAGGATCAGATTTCCCAAGCATTATGCGATGTATCCTGTTTGTTATCACGATCATAAGGCCGTGAAGAAATCTTTATACAATGAGCTCACCTAGTAACGGGTCTGTTGAAAATAGAATTCTGCAGAAACCTGACACGCCAATCTGGTATCTTCACAGCCAGGTGTCGGAAACACACCCTTAAAAGTACACCTGTTCTGGGACATACTATGGATGCTGATTGTAGCTGGTGTAACCCGTTCTCGCCGGCATCGCGCATATTTGTGGCAGCGTGGCGTTGGGGTTTAATGCGGTGCTGCACATATATGCACACAGCCGGCATCTCTATGCTCATATGCACGCTGCCCGCACGATGAGCGTGCTCATCACAGACAGCTCCCAGGTGTTGGGACGGGCTCCTGATCACCTGACCACTGTGACAGCCAATCACAGTCCACCTCTGGTGTTAAAATGCAACTGGAGCCAAAACATTTGTGTGTGTGTTGATATAGTGGAGAGGGATTAGAACTTAGGTTTTTATTGCTGTCCGTGTCCCCGTTAGGGAGATTCACCTTCTCTATACTTCTCCTAGTGACAGTTATCGGTGAAAGAAAATCCCAAATTTTGGGTCATCAGAACAGGAATAGATGGGAAATTTTCCAATGGGGACACTAGTTTTGTTGATCTTGCTAGCCACCAGGGATTTCTCTCATTTTCGGTTGTGGCTGTGGGACAGGGTGTGAAGGGAAGTCTACCCACGCAAAAGCAACGTGCCATTAAAGTCTATGGAATGTCTGTGCGCAGGCAAACAGCCACTAGATATTCACGGGCTTGGGAGTAGGCAAATTGGGGGCCACCATTGGAGGAGGTAAATAAAAACACCTCAAAAGAATTGTGTATTAAGGGGGTTAGGGAGGGGGGCTCAAGGGTTGTCAGTGAATAATTGAAGTCTACCTTATTAATTTCCTATTCTATGCAATAATAAAAAATGGAAAGAGGGAGAGCCAGAGAAAGGAGGGAAGAGCCGGAGAAAGGAGGGAAGAGCCGGAGAAAGGAGGGAAGAGCCGGAGAAAGGAGGGAAGAGCCGGAGAAAGGAGGGAAGAGCCGGAGAAAGAGAGGGAGCCGGAGAGAGAGAGAGAGACGGAGAAAGAGAGAGAGCCGGAGAAAGAGAGAGCCGGAGAAAAATTTGCCTTTACATAATTTAAATGCATTATTTGGATGAACCAACATATCTACATGTCCAAAATGGCTTGGCCGTCTCTTCCAGGTAACACATTTGATGATCGGCTCAAGATTGATCTAATGTTTATTGTAAGGCAGACATAGAAAACAAGCCAAAATTTGTGTTTGAAAAATACACGTTGGTACCGCATCTACCCACTGCTCTTAGGTTTAGGGAAGGATCGGATGTTTTTGTATACAGAGGTAATAAAGTGACAGCTCTGTCCATGAGAAAGACACCAGACCGATCGGTTGTAGACCAGACACTTACGCTGTGAGATGCTTTAGCCGGGACTCAATGTTCCGATGTCTCATACACATCCTGGTCAGGGCTGAGCCAATCTCCTTTGTTGCTCCTGCAATAGAAGACAAAGTGAAGCTGTTACTATATCGCGGACTCTATTCATAAGACCATAACAAAAAGGATTCGCTCAATTCTATTTGCAACTTATTAATATAATTAAGTCCAAGATGTCTCCCAATGCGTTATGGATACTGTTTAAGCTGAACTCCAGGCAAGCAGCTGAAGCACAACTGAAATTCATATATGTACACGGTTTTACTTGCCAAAACATTTTTAATTCCAATCCAGTCTTTGTGATCCAAGCACCTCTGCCAGACAGCATGGACAGGTCCGTGACCTTCAATGCCATGGCAACTTCCAGGTCATTACAAGGAGAAGTGTAAAAAAAAGATAAGCCTTCAAATACCCGATGGTTCTCTATGAAAAGTGCTGTATCTGATCGGATGAACTTTAAAATTAAGCTTATGATAGAATGCATAAACAGAGGTTTTCTCGATGGGTGAAAACGGCATGTCTAAACAATCAACCAATCCAAAGATGCATGCAGCTGAATTTATACGTAAATTTTGAATGTTACCGGAGAAGTTGGGCTTGGCCCACCTCTCCCTCACCCTGAGCCTCACAACTGATTATTGGATGAAGAAGTTGCCAAAATGGGCTTGTCCTGCTCAACTCTCCTTCAGAGTCTTGATATTAGCCCTTAGCTGAAGAAGTGGACAAGTTGGCCCTGGCTTTCCCCTCTCTCCTCTTGAGCCTCACTGTTGGTTCTTGGCTGAAGACATTGCAAATTGGGCTTGACATGCTCATCCCCTCCTCTAGAGCCACGCTATCAGTCCTTAGCTGAAGAATTGGCCAAGTTGTCCTTGGCTTTCCCCCTCGCTCCTCCTGAACCTCCCACTGTTGGTTCTTGGCTGAAGTTGCCAAATAGGGCTTGGCCCACTCATCCCTCCTCTAGAGCCACCCCATTGGTCCTTAGCTGAAAAAGGGGCCAACTTGGCCCTGGCTTTCCCCACTCTCCTCCTAAGCATCACAGTTGGTTCTTGGCTGAAAAAGTTGCAAATTGGGCTTGGCATGCTCATCCCTCCTCTAGAGCTACGCTATCAGGACTTAGCTGAAGAATTGGCCAAGTTGTCCTTGGCTTTCCCCTCGCTCCTCTTGAGCCTCACTGTTGGTTCTTGGCTGAAGAAGTTGCCAAATTGGACTTGGCCCACTCATCCCTTCACTAGAGCCACACTATCGGTCCTTAGCTGAAGAAGTGGCCAAGTTGAGCTTAGCTTTTCCTTTCTCATTCTGAGCCAGTCTTTACATAAAAAATTAGGATATCCATATCATTTCAGCTGAGCACATTTCTGGAGCTACCGATAAATTTAACATGAAGTTTCCATTAAAGCAAACACATGCCAATGCATTTTTATTCATCGTACGTTCAGTTTCATTACAGGTTCACTTTAAGCTCTTACTGGTTCTAGGGCCTGCCTGGCAACAGAAAAAAAAAAAAGGACAATCCTGCATTAAACTTTCCCAGACACGCGAACAGATACAAAAGCTTTTTTGTCCCCATTCGCTTTCATGTGAAATGGTCAAAACTAAAAGCAAGGCATGAACAGCAAACAAACAAAATAACGAATGGCTTGGCAGAACGTATCCCAGTCAAAGCGGCCGGGCACTGTCCCAAGCTACGTCTGTTATTGTAATTTACCTGGGTGCGTTGCACAACCAAATGAGAGTATAGCGAGTCGTCCAAAATAAAGAGCACTTAATCCACAAATCAATTTCATGTGCTGTCTCTATAAATCTCATTTATCTCATGGAAAAGTCCTAGAATGCAAATATGAAGCCTGCGGACTGTCCCTTCGACCATTAACATCAAAAGTGACGAGGTCTGTGAAATTGCTGTCCTACGACCCAATGATATACCACTCCAAACTAGTTCCCGTTATTCCTTCCTCTGTCACAGGGTCCCAGAACGCATTGTGTGGGCAGATTCCCAATAGGAAACCAGTATACCCAGATTCGACACCTAGAGGGAGCGGTGGCATCACCCCCCCTCCAAGCCCTGGCTATTGGACTTGAGCAGTGTCCTCTCGGAGCAGGTCACATGCTCCCACATATCTGGAAGCAAAAAAGGTACTTGCATCTGCTGAGCTAGAAGAAAGAATGGTGGGGAAGCCATGAAAAGATATCAGTGGGGTTTGGGGGGTCAGGCACTAAATGGGCAAAGTGACACCGTCTCCTCCACGGTAGACAATGCACGTGTTCCCCATCTCTATCTTCTTGCCGCTTCTGGTCTGAACAGGTGGATTCCTGCTGCAAGAATTAGCAGATTCCTGGCGTTCTTTACTTGTTTTTTGGGTTCGATTGGCCAATAAAATGAGTCAAGTTGAGGCTACTATAGGAGTGGCTGATGACCATGCGCTGGACAAGCATTAACATGCTCTGCGATTGCCATAAATAGGACGTACAACACAGATCTGTGCTGTTTTGGCCAAAACAGGTCAACGCAGTACACAGATATGAACCAGCACCATGAAAAACAATGGCGAAGCTGTGGGCATATGCTGACGTACGTTACAATACGCACATAAAAAAGGTAAAAGGTGTGACTGTCCCTGTTCACACCTGTGCCATTTGAAGTCCTTTGGCCATCGCACAACAAAAAGGAATCCCATTCTTTTCTAGTGGGCCTAGGTTCTATTCAGTTATAGAACATGCTTCTATCAGGCTTGGAAAATGGTGCAGGTGCTTTCTTTGGTGCATTTTTAGACCCATGCAAGTCAATGGGAGTGAATGAAGATACACAAGTGTGAACGGAGTCTAAAAACACTAGGTCTTTCCACAGGAGCCTCACCAGCAGGTTCAGGAATATCACCTGCAATCTTTATATAGTTACTGAGACACAAATAAAAAGTGACAACCGCTAATAAATCACGAGATCCAGGAAATTCCAGTCTGGTGTATTCAGCCCCCGTCCTGATGACAGATTATATTCTTTAATACGAATTCACATAGTTTCCATACAAAGGTTATCTGACCCATCACCTGATAGTGGAACACCACCTCCGGGATGATTAATGAAGCAAAAATACTCTAAACACCAACACTATTAAGGTTGGTTGCCAGGCTTTCACAATACTATGGCCTCAGCTGCTTCCGTTTCCCTTATGTAGAACAGAAAAGCATATAAGGAGTTTAGTTTAAGGCCAGTGGATGAAATAGTACTGAAGCTAGAGAATCAAAATGACATAACTAGCACTGACCCATTTCCCTGCCGGTTTCATTTTGCCTATAGGGCTTCTGTGGAGCAGCCAGACTTCGCATGAAGGTTTAGGCAGTGCCAATATGGTACATGCTGTATTTTAAGGGTTTAAGATTCCAATGTCAACTATGAGCAGAATAAAAAAAAAAGTCATGATTCAGTCTGCCGCTGGCATTAAAGCCAAGCTCCAAAAAGCTGCCCATTGTAAACACCCGTGCCAATGCAATATGGCTTGTTCCACCCCGTAACTGTCATTTTTGCTGGACTGATGGACCCATGTCACAGGGGAGACTGAGAAAAACCAATAAACGGCTTTGTTAAAGCCCAAATCCAGGGAAATTAAAAGAAGTTTTCCTTTGCAGTGGGGCTGCCAGTGTACTGCAAGAAAAAAACAGCGGTGTCACCCTGTTAAAGAGGAACTTTACCCGTACTCGTTACAGATACTTCAAGATAATTGTCGGCTTTGTATTCTTTGCATACTTTATTTTCTTTTTCTCCCCATTCTTCTGACGGTGGACATTTTAACTAAGGGCAGAATAATATATTTCCCTTTAGTTCCTGGAACTCTGGCACATGTGACTAGGACATGTGACCATGCACATCACCTCAGGGGAGGAAAACGGCTTTCCCTGAGATTACAGATGAGATTTCCCAGCAATGCTCTGCTGATGTAACCTTCCCAGGATGCAATGCCTGGGCACAATTACATTGTTTGTGCCAAAGTGGACAAGGAAGTGGGGGAAAAAAAAAGCAAATTGTAAATAAAATAAAAAATCCGTTTGTTTAGCTAATGAAAGTAAGATGATTTCATGTCAGTATACAGAGCTGTATGCTGATGTGATTTTAGTCAAAGGGGGGTAAAAGGTCAATTTTAACCACCTCCGGGCCGGCCAGGAAAAATAATAAAACTACATTGAGGGGTGAGGGTTTTCTGAAAATGTGTTCGATTAGTTACAAGGTAAACGTTCGATCCCTACCAGCCAGTTCTCAACACCAAAAGCAAAGGTCTACCGTTACGCTAGAGCAGGGGTAGGCAACCTCGCTACTCCAGCTGTGAAACTACAAATCCTACCATGTCTCTGCCTCTGGAAGTCACGTCTGTTGCGGTCAGTTTTGCAATGCCTGATGGAACATGTAGTTCTGCAACAGCTGGAGGTTGCCTGCCCCCTGTGCTAGAGGTTCTTGTGGCCTCACTTGCCCTTCTCCTAAACTGGTAATAAGCATGTGCACACTTTCCAGTTCCTGAAGTTGTGCACTGTGTGCTCCAATGACAGACTGATATATTTCTAAGATGACAAAGGCCGCATCGCCTGTAGCACAACAAATAGAAAAGAAAAGAAAAGCTTTGCATGTGACCAGACCCAAGAAGTTACAAAACAGAGTTCAAAGCGGAGTTTTCCTTTAAGCAGCAGCAGCTTTAAAAGGCAATGCCAAGACTACAGGGAAGGTCTGTGATGACATTAATTACTGGTCTCTTTCATTACAGGCTCGGGGATTGCAAACTAGTAAACATAAAACTAACAGGCTGCTGCATACAAAAACACGGCCATTGTACAATCCCTTCCTGACAAAAGTGGGTCACCAGGAACATGTGAGGTACTCTCAGCTATTATGTGTCAAGTAGAAATGCCATTTTATATTTTACTTGCATATAGGTGCAGTGATCCAGGGTATGTAACGTATATAGCACAGCACACAAATTGCAGTGATCCGGGGCATGTAACTTATATAGCACAGCACACAAATTGCAGTGATCCGGGGTATGTAACATATAGCACAGCACACAAATTGCAGTG